AAAAACAATCCCCCAAACAATAACAACCAAACAAAAACAATAAAAATATAAACATATTTCCTGGCTTCTTTTTCATCTCTAATTGCACCTTCTTGATTACTTGTAGATTAAACGTCCATGGGTTTCTATTGTCTTTCTTATTTTATTGGGTTCTATTGTGTCCTTTGAGAAGTTTCCACAAGAAGCAGCTTGGGTGTGTTTCATGTAGCTGGTCAAGAGACCTCTGAATTTGAATCTCTCCTTGGTAAAAACAAAACAAAATTTAAAAAAAATTTTCAATCCCTTTAACATATGTTTTCTTCTCCCGCATTCTTGCTGATAAACTTTCTTACCTAAATCTTGAGTAAAAATTTCAGTTGGACTCTGGATCTCTTTCTTTAGCAGTACTTCATTGATTTCTTATGACACTCAGGATATTAAAAATCAATAATAACATGAATTATAAAATGCTCTACATAAACTTATGAACTAGGCTATATATAATGAAGGCATTTATATTATGTTTATAGATATACTCAATGTAGTTCTGTAGCAACCATGAATTCTTCAGTGAGATCTTTGTACAGCTGTTACCTAGATGTTAAATAAAAAAATTTGTACTGGTCCTGTTGAGTGTGGTATCTGGCAAGTTATGCTACTCTCATGTAAACTTGTGACTCAGAAAAAAGGAAGGAAAAAAATCTGTTTCTAGATGGTTATGGAAGTTACAAAGGAATATTCTTATTTTTTTCTTTTTTTCAGTATTATTCTCTATTTTTATGTTGCTCACAAATTTATCATCCACAGTGAATTGGAACTTCTTATATTATGGTTGAGATAGGATGGGGACATTTATGTCTTAAAGTGTAATAATACCTGAGTCAGATTTTAAATACAGTCATCAACTGTATTCTTGTGGTTCTACATTGCCCAATTAATATTCTTTAAGAGCTGCAATTTATAAATTTGTCAGTTTTATGTGCTTCAGCTGGATTGCTATCCTGGTTCTATGTCCTCTGTTAGTGAGAGTGTTTGTGCTTGGGAGGGTGTATATAGCAGTTTATAGTTCTGAGGTTACTTCTTAACAAACCTTTTCTATGCCAGTGGTTGTAAAATTGACCAAGCACTAAAACTACTTTTAATCACATTAAAACATACTTTGCTGCCATCTCTCTTGCCCCATAGTTCTTGGGCAGCACCCCACAATTTGAATTATTAACACTATCACAATGATGTTGCTGTTGGTTTGAGTTACATAATTATAGCAACACTAACTTCTGGTGTTACGGTTTAAAAAACAAACAAACAAACAAACAAACAAACAAACAAACAAAAAATGCCCAGCTATGTAAACAAGCCAACATTTTGTTTTAATTTAAACTGTTTCATCCTGTCTTTTTTGTCTTTGTTTTTGTTGCGTGTGTACCTACCTACTGCAATTAATGCACAGAGGTAATTTAGCTAAAGGCTACAAAGTGTTTAATGCTTGGAAGAAAGAAATTGTATTGGCAAGAAACAAAAAGGCAGGGAAATACTTATTGAGTTCCTGAGAATCATCAGGGTACATCATGATTAGTTCACCCTCAGCAGCAAACTCTTCTGGTCCATTTCTACTTGAAGAACTCTGAAAGACTCTGACTAGGCTTCCTCTTCCCATTGACCAGATGCACCCACAGTTGAGAATTTGTACTCCATAGCTTTTAAGAAGTAAACTTGTCTTCTTACCCTTATGTTTCATGATTGTATCTTTTATTTGAGTAAAAATAATTTTCACTGAGTGAATACAAAATGCTCTTAATCATGCATTTTGAAGTAGTCTGGGATGTGTGGGTAACTGATTTCAAATGAACAAATATAAATCATTCTTTTCTGTCAAATAATTTCCTACAGAAGAAAGAAACAATCCTAATAATTTTAATAATATTGGCTGTAAAGGAAATATGAGTAATATTTAGAATTTCAAAAACTTTTTTGAAGTGTTAAATTTGACGAAATTACTGATTTTCTTCTCAAATGTCAAGCCAGGTACTGAAGGCTGTATATATTGATTTGTTTGGACTGTGTTAAAGTTATTGTTCTATGATGATATTTGCAGGTTTCTCTCTGATTGATTAAATGCAGCATGTTTTACTTAGAACTGATGTCTTTTTATCTTTTTGTCACTACCACACTGATTATTCAGTCTTTAGAGAAAATAGCTCATTGCAGTGGATCATTACATGCCTCAATGGAATAATAGTAGCTCATTGTAACTAATCATTACAACGCCATATTGATTTTTTCTTTTCATTATGAAAATTGAAGCCACATTAGTTTAAAATGAGCTTCCATATATATTGAGTATGTGATTGGTTCTGGATCTCAGCTATTTTAAATTATACCTTCTTCAATAATCTGATGACTGATAGAAATATAGATTCTTACCATGCTGATATGTTCATTTTAGATATGGAATGGACAGTGTCGTAAGTTACTTTTTTATTGCTATGATAAGATACCATGATGATGACAACTTATGAAAAAAAAAGTTATTGGGGGGCTTACAGTTTCAGAGAATTAAAATCTATGCCCATCATGGCAGGGATCATGGTGGCATTCTAGCAGGCATGGTGCTGGAGCAGTAGCTGAGAGCTTACATCTTGATCCAGAACATGAAGCACAGAGAGGTAACTTTGTAGCTAGAGTTTTCCTGCCTTGCCCACAGTCAGGACAAATCTCTGTCACTCGCCAGTCCCACAACTGCTCAGACCCAACCAAGTAAACACAGAGACTTATATTGCTTATAAACTGTATGGCCGTGGCAGGCTTCTTGCTAACTGTTCTTATAGCTTAAATTAATCCATTTCCATAAATCTATACCTTGCCATGGCTTGTGGCTTACCAGCATCTTCACATGCTGCTTGTCCTGGTGGTGGCTGGCAGTGTCTCTGTGCCTCAGCCTTCTGCTTCCCAGAATTCTCCTCTCTCCTTGTCCCATCTACTCCTGCCTGGCCACTGGCCAATCAGTGTTTTATTTATTGACCAATCAGAGCAATTTGACATACAGACCATCCCACAGCATAACTGGGAATGTTATGAGCTTTCAAACCCCATAGCCTGCCCCACTGTGACAGCCTTCATCCAATAAGCCATACTTCCTCATCCTTCTCAAACAGTTGCACCAATTAAGGATCAAGGTATTCAAATATATGAGGCTATGGAGGCCATTCTTATTAACAACCAGAGAAAATTTAAAGACTATGAAATGTAAATATACACATGATCTCAATATATGTAGTATCTTGCCAGTACATATACCATAGTGGTACATTGCTTGCCTACCATAAATGAAGCCTAGTATTTTCTCCCCAGTGTTGTAACATTTCTGTATGTATGTAGGTAGTAGAGATTCTAATGATTATTTTACAAGCTTACAAAGTATTCATTTAGTTTTGTGAAATCCTTGGGCAATATGAGATTGCCTATGCTTTGTGGTTACATGGTACTAAATTTAAATTAGTAAATATTTATTGTTTACAAATATGTCATATATTGTATGTAAGCTACTCTAATGGGACAATGGACGATAGAGAAATGACTGAGGAAATATCCTGTCTTTATGGAATTTATAATCCAAATGAATCAGTAAGGTATATGATAAAAAACATGTCAGACATCAAGAGATAAGATTATGTGTAGAGGTTTTAAAGAAGAACCCATATTTGTTTGAAGATCTCCATGGGCTGGAGAGATAGTTAATAGTTTACAAATGGTAATTTGAAACTTTGAGGCTTTGAGAGATAATATTGTGGTTTCCTTTTTGGAAGAAAGAATAAATAAGCTAACAAAGGAAGTTCAGAGAGAACTCCAGGAATGCTCATTTGTATGATTCTCTTAGACAATGTAGTATAAATTCTTAGGCTGGAAAGGTATAGTGAGGCTTCATGAAAATACCAGGCTAAGGGATTATTGAGGTAATGCAGATGAAATTTTGACTGAGGAATGTGGTTAAATGTTATTAGTCGGATATTTTACATGTAAAATGAACAAAAAAAAAATGAAACTACACAGAACCCCACTGAGTTAAACCATGTTAAGATAATGGTAACTAGTAGTAAATTATGATTTTGTGTAAACAATGAAAAGGGCAGATGGCCATTTAGAGGAAGCACTGTAGAAGAAAAGAAGGAGAAGAAGAAGAGGAGGAGGAGGGGGAGTAGGAGCAGAAGAGGAAGAAGGAGGAGGAGGAGAAGAAAAGGAGGAGAAAGAAGAGAGGTTCTGGAATATTCAAAACACAGCATTTAACATCTATAGAATTAGTTTTCTGATAATCCTTCTACTTATGTAATCTTCAGTGTTATGCTTTGGTAGCATCTTATCAAAGTTGTTTCCCTGGTTACATATTAAAAGCATCCTGGCCTTTCAGTTGTTTAGCAAAGGTTATTTTACTTCATTGCAACAAAGCACCGATGTTATATAATTAGTTACTTATTTATTATCTCTCTATTTGTAGGTAGTAGACTCCATGAGGGTAAGGGCTCAGTTATGCTGCCCATTTTATCTATATTACATACGTATGTGGTACCTTGTAGATATTCAACAGCTGTTTATGAAGTGAGCAGAATAAATGAAAAGGTGAAAGACAATGGCAGGTCAAACAATTAAGCCAGTATTTCAAGTTTGAGGGACTCAAAGGGTAATGGTGTTACTAAGAGAATACTGAAGAGTGGAGGAGGAGTTGATTTGGGGTAGTGGAAATAATGGAAGATAAACTTCACTCATAAATTGTGGCTTAAGTATGTGAAGCTGGTGAACTATCTTATGCAGTGCAATATAGGGGCAAGGAAACCATGAAGATAGGTCTGGGATTTAGGTGATTATACTACGGTCATCCTCACAGTCAAGCCTTTAATCAGAAGGTAAAGAAATAACACATATAATTAGTAAGGACGTATTATCATGTTTGAAAACAAAAAATTAATTTTAATATCTAATGTGCTAAATATATGAAGTTACTTATATATATTCTTTTCAATTCTTAGCTGGGTTAACAACTTTGGCCATGAAGGACTTGGACTTTTACTGGATGTGCTGGAAAAGCTTCTGGACAAAAAACAGTAAGAATAAACATTTAAAACCTTTCATACATGGGAAAAAATTTTAAGCACAATGTAATTTTTTTTTCTCACTGACTTAGGCAAGAAAATATCGACAAGAAGAATCAGTACAAACTCATTCAGTGCCTGAAAGCATTTATGAATAATAAGGTAAATGGTGTTTACTTATTCCTCTGTTACAAAAGGGGAGAGCTTACTTGAGAGTATGAAAGTAAGAAAGAGATTAAATAGTAGGTATTTATTCAAGTTTTAATAATATGTTTATAATGCAGATCATTATGAGTTAACTCTAAGTCATTTTAAAAGTATATTTTACTTCCCACAATATTGGCATATTTTGCAATTATGCCAACAATATTAGTTTAGCTCTCAAATTTGATAATATGTTTTTCCTTTTATGATATCATGGTTTATTTATTTTTAAATATTTATGTGTACCTGTTGCTATATTAATTTATGTGCAACACATTCATGCAGGTGCCCATTAAGGCTAGAGGGAATCAGATCGCCTAGAACTCAAGCTACAGGCTTGAGCTGCCTAATGTGGGTGCTGGGAGTTGAACCTGGATTCTCTATATGAGGAGTATGTACTATTAACTGCTGAAGCATCTTTTAAACCCTAGTAGTATGGAGATTAAAATGTCATAAGTTGAATACCATTTCCATATGGAGAAAGAAGTTTTATTTTATTGAAAAGGAAAATTCAAGGGTAGGGATAAGGTTCAACTAATTTGATAAGAGTGTTATTTCAGTTTCAATGATTTAACATGCATAAATGAAATCTGTAGAAAATAGCTTGCATTTTTGTATATGTAGAATACTGTTTGTACTATACAATAACTTTGACTAATTTGCTTAATTACATTAATTACCTTTAGGTGGTATTTTAATATTCTCAAAATACTTAATAGAAATTAAGTAATTATAGTAACAACCAAGAAGTTGCTAAATGTGAACTATAGCTATTAATAATCAATGCAACACTACTGTATATTTAAGTACTACACAAACACTTGTTCTTTGGTATATGCAATTATATATTACTATCTGTATCATATGCCCATTTAATCAGCAAATAGTACATGGTTGCTAATGAATTCCTTCGTCACATATACTTTTACTGCTATTTCTTGAAGTTTATTATCCTTTTACATTTAATTATGGGTATGTATGATGCACCAATATGTGCATTTGAAAGTCAGAGTACAATTTGAGGGAGTCACTTCTTTCCTTCTACCATGTGGGTCCCAGGGATCCAACTTTGGTTTCTTGCATTTTATCAAGTACCTTTATACTCTGAATTATCTTGCTCACCCATTTGGAATTTTTTTTTTTTTTTAGAAAATCTCCCATCAGTAATAGTACAGAATTTCTCTTTTGTGCTTTTGGCCTTTAGATATCACACGGCATAGGATCTAATGACGAACAATACATTGTTTCTCCATAACTCAAGAAGGACCTCTTTCTTCAACTGATAAAAGTAGTAACATTATAGAAAGAGAACACAATACTAGAAATCAGAGATGAAGATCACATTTTGTCTTTCCTAAGCAGACAGGGCCTTTGAAAAATAACATAGCCTCTGGCTGATCAGTCTCCTCCTCTGTAAATTCAGCTATGGGAGCTTTTGTTCTACATTCTTATTGATTCATGTTGTCAGCTATCTTAGTTTTGTAGGATAACCACTAATTATAATTAAAATACTGACTAAAGAAAGTTATATTAGTAGGATTTCCTATACAGCCCTACTCCCACAGGAGATACTCAGATATATCAAGACTCACTTTCTTTTTCTTATATGTTTGTTTGTTTTGAAGAACATGATGGTTTAATTTAAATTATTCTATACTAAATGGGAATTTTTGTTAAGCTATGTTTATGATTTGGATATATATATATATATATATATACACACACACACACACACTCAGCATGTGAATAAACAAATCCTTTAAATTATAGGCGTGTGGAACAATGCATAAAACAGACATTCTGAATAGAAAGCACACAGTATATATTCATTTTAAGCTGGAATACATTTTCCAATTTCGAGGAAGGTAAATAGTATCTGAAATGACGTTACTTACATTAGAAACTGTTATAAAAGTCTGCATGTTCCCTTATTTATTAAGGTCCACAGTAAAGTCATATTTAAGAAATTTAGCCTGTTCCTGGAGAGGGTGGCTCATGCCTTTAATCCCAGCACTTGGGAGGCAGAGGCAGGCAGATCTTTGTGTTTGAGGTCAGCCTGGTCTACAGAGTGACTTCCAGGAAAGGCTTCAAAAGCTACACAGAGAAACCTTGTCTTGGAAAACTAAAATAAAAAAAAAAAAAGAAAAGAAAAGAAAAAGGAAAGAAGAGAAAAAGTTTAGCCTTGGCCCCTTTTCTCTTAGAATTTAAATTAAGACATTTCATGCTGTTTATATGTTTGATACTTTGCCAAATGTTATCTTGTAATGTTTCCCAATGAAATGTAATGTTGCCATGGAACTAACTGTAAAATGAAGCAAACTTCTAATGAGAAAATGAAAATATACTTTGTAAAACAAAGGTGAAAAGACAAGTATCTTACCATTAATTTTTGATTTGGAAGTCTACCTATTGGCATTTGTGAATGCATGTGGAATTTTACTGGATTCATGCCTAGAAAATAAGTGAAACTGGTATTTTCTTTGTCCTTTTGACTATTGTATGTAAGGAAACCCAAGTGCATGATGGTGTTGCTGCCGAAGAGATGATATAAAAGGGCAAGAAAATCAGAGAAAATCCATATTATTTATTTATTACTTTAACTAGCATATAGTATGCTTTTTATTTTAATTTGTTTCATTTTATATACCTACCACAGTTCCCCCTCTCTCCCTTCTTCCTAGTTCCCCCACTTCCCCCCACTCTATCCCCCATCCACTCCTCAAAGAGGGTAAGGCCTCCAAAGGGGAGTCAACAAAGTCTGGCATACAATTTGAGGCAGGACCAAGCCCCCACCCCTCCTTCATCAAGGCTGAGCAAGGTATCCTATCCTAGGTAGAGCTCCAAAAAGCCAGTTGACGTATAATATACTTGAAGCACTTTAGCATTTTTGTCACCTGTGTTTATTTTAATTTTTGATGCAAATATATTTGAAAACTTAACTACAAATTCCAGACTTTCCTAAGGATACCTCACGACATAAATAAAGTTGCTTTAAAAATACATTCAGTATGTGTTTGATACGTTTTGTTTGTTAGAGAAATACTACTTTTTCCCATATTTCTTCTAAATATTTTTAAAAACTTTATTGAGGAATAATGGAAATCATTTTTATTCAAGCTACAAATTTTTAAAATGTAGTCATTTCAATTAAAATAAAAGTAAATAACTGCATTTGAGGAGGATTTACATAATCTAGCCCCTGTGAAGGTATTTTTTTTGAAAATTTTATTTATTTGGGGTTTATGTTAAATGAAAAATGTGTTCTATAGACATTTCAGTTTTATTTGTTTGTTTTTTAGTTTGGACTGCAAAGGATTCTAGGAGATGAGAGGAGTCTTTTATTGTTGGCAAGAGCAATTGACCCTAAACAACCCAACATGATGACTGAAATATTAAAAATACTTTCTGCTATTTGCATTGTTGGGGAAGAAAACATGTAAGTATTGACATGTTCTATTTGTTGTGTTGAAAAATGACACCTGGGAAATTAGTGTCTTTTCTTTTTGATAACTTGCAGAAAAATAGAAGTAGGTTTTAGAACCTTTTTGGTTGACATCCTTATTTTGTTATTTTACCTTTTTGTATATTACATAATTAAATTTGTATAAATTAAGAGATTAATATAAAATAAATAAATGGAATTTTGTCTCACTGAAGATAACAGTCAATTGGAAATGTGTTAAGATCAAAAAGTTATTTTGGGAAACACAGGAAACACACGCACGATGTGAGATACACACACACACGCACGCACGCACGCACGCACGCACGCACGCCTACGCCCTCAGGTGTTTGCCGTGCATGCATAGACATTTTACTGCTCCTTATGCAGTTTAGTTTGCAATATTAACTGTGTTTGCCAGATCCTCTGTAAGAGCAGCCAATGCTCTTAACTGCTAAGCTACCTCTCCAGACCCCAATTTAGCTTCTTTAATTAAATCGACTAGATCCTTTGTATTATTGTATCATTGTCTTTTACTTTATCTTGTATGGTAACTTAACATGATATGAACTTACCAAATAAAAAGAAAGCAGAGTGTAAGTTTGTAGATAAATGTTTGGAATACAAACACAAACAGCTCATACAGAAAAAAATAGCATGTGAAGTAATATGTATGTTAATTAGCTCCAGTTAGATATTGCATAACAGGGATATTTTAAAAACACTATTGTATATACTACAAATACTTGAAAGTTTTATCTATTCTTAGTAAGTGATGTGAAAATTTCAATGGTTTATATAAACTTCAAACACTAAGAATAAAATAGAGAATGAACTATGTTCATCATATGAAATATTTCTCATTTCTGTTTTCTTTGTTTTTGTAGTCTAGACAAACTTTTGGGTGCCATCACTGCTGCAGCTGAAAGAAATAACAGAGAACGATTTTCACCAATTGTGGAAGGACTAGAAAACCATGAAGCATTACAACTCCAGGTTGGGTCTTTTTGTCATGAGTCACTTGAGTTATATTTTGAGTACCTGCATTATACCAACTCCTTTTCAGCTGGCATTAATAGGATAGAATGCAAAAGTACATTTTTTTGTGTTATTCACAGTTTTGTTTACTTAAATTCATTTACAGTTAAGAAAATTGCTTCTTCATCATCACTAATATGTTATGCATTATAATAATTAGTGGGAAATTGAATCTTTAGCAGTAATCTGGGCCAAAGTGCAAGCCGTTCAGTCAGTACTGTTTGACTAATTTAATAAAAATTTTAAGCTTTTGTAGAAATGTAAGAGAATATTCAGGTATGGTGTCACAGCATGGT